CTGGCACGACATGCCTTTTGACGGTTTCCCACTTCCTTGGTTAATTTTCGTCAACACACCTCCCCTTACACCTCCTCACCACCGGTCCCACACCCACATCTCCTCACAAGACCACACCTTCAAATCCACCTCCTTTCGCTGGTGCCAGTGAACCCTGGTTCTCAAGAGCGTTGACTTGAAGGATGACCAGTGTCATTGTCTGGCGAAATGTATGCTTTGTTAATCCTTGGCAAGTGGCACTTCTCCACATCCAATCCCAACGCCTGCAACGTGACTGTCGTTGCAGGTGGTTAGTGCTTGGAGTTAGGGCTTGCTGAATGCAGCAATCGTTTCACGACATCGATTTAACATGAGTACAGTCAGCAGGTGCGCTTGCAATGTTGGTGTACCTGCTCTTCCACCAATCCAAACTTGTGCCCTCACTTTGACCAGCCAGACCAACCCTTACACCTCTCCTGCTTTGCATTCGCCACCCCTCCAATTGGCCAATTCCAAGGCGTCCTATATTTTTCAACACCCTTTAAAGCAACCGTCTCGTGACAACCATCCGCCATTCTCCAATCACTCATGATACAGTCATCACATACATTCAGCGACGCGATCCCCCTTCAAACGCACACCCCACTACACCACTTGCGTCTCAATTTGCGCTACCAATAATGAGGTTAATGCGAGTGCAAGGCGAAAGAGATTTCAGAGCATCAACTTCCGCCTTTATTGTTTAAATATCTTCCCTTACCACTCAACACTTGCTGAGTGGATGCTTGCAAATACACTTTGTCTGCGAATGCACTGTACTTGGTTGGCTTGGACTTCCATGTCAGCTGTATCACACACATTCAAATGGTGGGTGCAATGGTTCAAAGGTGTGCGCCCCATCGAGTGGTACTATTTGGGCACACCATGTGCACCACCTGCCTGCGTCTGCGGCAGGTGTCCACACACACACACACACACACCCCATTCTCTTTCCCTTGTGTCTGCACGTCCGAGTGGATTCATTCGTAGCATGTGGAAATGACGCATTGGTCTTTGGTGTTAGCCGTGAAGGGGAAGTCTTGAGGGGATATTACTAAAGCACCACATGGAGCTAGCATCCATAAAGTATTACTTTCCATCTAATAAATATGTATGTTTTGTTTCTGCCACAACCAGTAGGTTGGAAGTAACGAAGTACTTCAGACAGCTGCAGTAACAATTAAGCGGGTTTCGATTGTAAAATGATATTTTGTACGCGGAATGTTGTCCATCACGTCATCCTGTCATTTGTCCATGCACCAACCGTTTAAGGACTCTCGCAATTGGACACAGAGCACAGAGTGGCGCTGGTATCTCACTGCTCATGCTAATTGCATCGTTGTGTTGGCAAATATCGGCGCAATTATGGTCCCACATCCCAACGACACCGCATCAGTCCTACTTTTCGCTTGCTAAATGTCGCCTTTACCAGTATGCAGAGGAGGTAGTGGGACACCGATTCTGGATCGCATGTTACAGAGCCGAGTGCGTGGTGGCGAATAGAGATGGGGACGAATATGTTGCATTCAGCTAATAGC